ATCAACTAACTAATCAGCCAGTCCTGCTGGCACAAAAATCAAACTCTTCCCTTGAGCAATACAAGGTATTCTGTCCTTTCTTTGGGTAGTGCGGGGAGCCAGTCACCATGAGCCACAAAAGTTATGAGGTTAAACTTGCACATAGCTCTAATTTTCTTTGAAAAGGAAGAGTAAAACATAGCAGGATAAATCTTAATGTCAAGTACACTCACACACAACAGAAACCATTTAACAGCAAGAGCACTTCATTTAGCGCTGAAGGTCATAACAAGAACTGAGGCCGAAAGCTGAAGGCAAATAAATTCTAATTTGAAATACAGAACAAGTATTTAGCAGCAAGGTAGCTAAAACTTGAAAACACTGTCAAGGCAGACCACGAACTCACATTTCTTGATGTCTTCAAATAAAAGTGAATGCCTTTCTAGAAGACATGATTCAGTGTAACAGAAGTTACCAGGTACCCGAAGGAAACATGTATGATATACGGGAGGTCAGTTTGGATGAACTGCTGATTCCACCCATCTTTACACCCTATGAAACCGAAAATAAATCATTACTCACAAGCAAGTGCTAGCTCACTAGTATTATTTGCCTTATGTTTTCAGTGCTTCTGAGCTCTTTCAGTGAAGAGTAACGTTCATCACTTGGTTAAAGCATTCAGCAAAAAGTCCCAATCAACTCTGCAGTTGGCAGCCAGCCACCATGTTCCCTGTCTTCTTTTGCAGCACCATCCTCTTACTAACAGAGGGCATTTATTGAGGTGAGATGGAATGAGACTTATTTCCACAAACAGCCAAGCTATCAGTTGCTAACAGCTAGGCTCTGTTGCTAGCTTGTATTCATTCCCCAGAATGCTGCTGCTTAAGCTAGACTCGGACAATCGCCCACAGATACAGCTTAAAACTGATATCAGCTTATTCAGCCTATCTTCTTTTTGCATATGTATGTGCATGGCTAAGTGGCATCTTCTAGTTGAGCTGACCTAACCCAGTATGTACTACATTCAGCTTCAGTGAAACTATAACTAGTCAAGAACAGCCCAGAATCTGTTCTGACTGATACATCAGGAACAGAGTTACCAGCTAATGTTTTCCGCCCAAAACAGAAGTTATATCACTGCAATGAGAAAAAAACATTTTTGTGACTTGCACCCTTAATCAAGGAGATCTGGAGCTATTTTGCTGTTCTTCTTCTTTTTAACAGTATCACTTCATTCACTTTAATTAGTATATTGAATTAGGGAAGCAACCACAAGTCCTTAAACAGAATACACAGACAGTAAAACTTCCAATACTTTGCAGTGTTTTGATCGATGTTTCTGCCTCTCTGTTTAAGCTCTCTACAAAATAGGGATCTGCAGTCAGACTGGATTTTGCAGCCACAGTTCAGGTTCATCACAGAGTCACACAGCATGGTAGTACATTACATGACATTGTATTGCAATTTAAAGGCAACTGAGGCTATTTGGGGGGTTTGCACTCCACCCCCTCCACAGCACAGAGCATACTGAAGCAATGAAAAGAGGAGACTGAAGGATGATTTTCCTTGCTAAACCTCTGACTGACCAATCTTGCTTTCTGATCATCAAATTTCATTTCTCTAGTCTGCAAGTGGAAATAAAAGAATAACTGGATTCTTTTCGTCCCTGAACACTTCAAATTTATAAAAGCAAAGAAGTTTTCTCCGTGGCATCCTCTGGCAGCCTGAAGCTCTCCTCTGACAATGCAAGAGAAGCAGTTCTGCCTTCACTAGGGTCTCCACCGAACACTCCGGTGCTTGCACTGAGGCCAGGAGATGCAAAGATAGGAGGGAAACAGAGCCGCGCTTTACATAGACAAAGAGGATTTTGATACACTCCTCCAAATGGGGCAGCATTACCATCTTAATAGCCTTTTGCTCTCAGCCCTCTTCCTGAGGACGCTGGAGATTTTTGCGAATGGAGAACAGTTCCGCTTCCCATTTCAACTGCAACAATAGCAGAAGGGCTCCTTAAACTGCATCAAATAGCAGCCTGTGAAATCCCTAACTAGCCGCACTGCCTCTCCTGCCGTTTTATTATCCTCTGGCCCACAGAACAAAAGGGGAGGGAGCTCCTCCTCGTTTTTAGCCTATTCCACACATCCTAATCCCTCAGAGGTGGCAATGGAAATTGCCTGTGGAACTGTTAAATCACACTTTCACTTTGTCTTTCATTCCCCATTCACCCTCCCTAATCAAGGAGTTTCCAGCCACATTTTCCGATATCAATTTGTTTATGGCCTATTGGTTAATGGTCCTGGGATGGGACCCCCTGCGTAAGAAGAAAGAATCCTGGGCATTTCAGCCAGCTGCTGCTTCTCGCCCGTTCCCACACCCATCCACTTGTTCCCATCAGCCGCCTTGAATGTGCTCACCTCCTGACACCAACTGAATTAAACAACAAAGCCTGAATGGAAAAGCTGCCTCTGCAACCAGGCTGTGGGACAGATTACACTTGCAAGCACTATACGACATCCCTCAAGCAGCAATGCACGGACGCTCCCTCACCGACTGACCTGTGGCCAGCTGCCTTACTGACATCTTTTCAGGCCAGACTCTTTTCAGTGGAGCCCAGCGACGGGACAAGGGGCAATGGGCACAAACTGAAGCACAGGAAGTTCCGTCTGAACATGAGGAAGAACTTCTTCCCTCTGAGGGTGACGGAGCACTGGAACAGGCTGCCCAGGGAGGTTGTGGAGTCTCCTTCTCTGGAGATATTCAAGAACCGCCTGGATGCGGTCCTGTGGAGCCTGCTGTAGGTGACCCTGCTTCGGCAGGGGGGTTGGACTAGATGACCCACAGAGGTTCCTTCCAACCCTAAACATTGTGTGATTCTGTGATCTTACCTTGCATCCAACTTCCCTTTGGAAAGAAACATCTGCTACTACTCTCATAAAAACTCCAGGCTCTCTTGCATGAGGCAGCCTGGTGCCACTTTCTGCATCTTATCTGAAACAGTCATTTCCAGGTGATTTGCTCACCTCCTCCTTCCATAGAAATAATGATCATTGAAATGTGGGATGAGAACATGCAATATGTAAAACTCAGTGAGACAGCTCACATGTAAGCGCTTACAAGTCTCTGTAAAATAGTCTGGGGCACATTATCTGGGGAACCATGCCCTTGGTTACTACCCATCTTGGAGAAAAACATCTAGAATATAATCATCTAAATATCTTAGACATAATGGTGTAGTCTGAAAAAGACAGCTCATGCAAAGAAAAGCTTCAGGCTACCTTCCAAAATATACAAAGAATGCCTCATATTGAGACAGCAAACTGGTATCTCACCTCTTTTTAGAAAAATGGTGAATGATGTTTTAAATGTGCACGCCAGAAAACATGCACCACCACAGGGAAAAAGAGCAATTGCCGTACTCCTAATGAAGTGCTATCCTTCTGTCAGAGAGTCCTGCTTCACCATCATTACATGTTACCAGGCCCATTTGTTCTCTAAAGGTCAGGTTCAGTCCTTGGAAAGCTATATTCCTGGCTCACAGAAAAGAACTGAAACAAATAAAGATCCTTTCTGAACAAATGCTTCCCGTTTCTGAAATGGGAAATCTTTCTTTCCCAAAGCTTCACTACATTCATGACTGAGGACAGAGCAGGAACTGTCTGCCTTTTTTTTATAATGACCAGAAACATCTCTGAAACTCACAAGACACTTGAGACAGAAAAGTAGCTTGTCTTCTGCCCTATACTGAATCAAAACGTGTCTAGACCAACTCTTGCAAGCCATCTCAGTTTAAACTAATAAAAATTGTTTCTAGTTCCTGTAGCCTGTTTAAATTACTGGTACCAAATAAAGCAGATCAAATTCCCTGAATGCCATCTAAAAATACAGTGGGTATAGTATCCAAAGGCTTAGGAAACACCAGATGGACCCCCACATTATCATTATGTAGATATACCAAATGGAAGCAAAAATGCACCAAAAAATGCTTTTGTTTCTTTTGTTTTCCTACACCACATACCACCAGAGATGTAAGCGTATTTAGTCATTAGTAAATGTAAATATGTCATTGGTCTGGTACAGCCTGTTTGAAGGTGAGAAATGGGCGATCAGAAGGAAGAGAACTGTTCACATACCTTAAAATGTTGTAGTGCTTTATGGGATCAGTGATTCTCAATCACTGGAACCTGAGAAATAGCGATACTTACTTTTCTTAATGCCATGGCTGCATATCAGAGTGTATCCTCTGAACAAAAAGTCACAGGCACTGACTAGTTTTACGTAGTCTGCTAAACTGATGCAGCATCAGGAGCCAGGCTCCATATCAACAGACAGCAACTCAACAAAATTGATCTATGAATGTCGGTCAAAAAGTAAGTACATTAAAGGAAGATTCATTTGGATAAATGGGGAAAAGAAGGGAAGAGCTGAACTTCCCTTTTTGCTGTGGTCTGAAAGTACATGATTTAGGACACGGCCACAAGAAATCCTAGTTCCCTGCCATCATGGCAGTAATATCCAGCTTTTCAGTACACTATCTCATATTCTGGAGAATCTGAAGATTATCTAAGACCATGGGGCATAAACATTAAAATGATCACAAAAACAGAGGACAGATATTAATTTCCTGTATTTTTACTGATGCCAAGCCATTTGCTAAAGAAGAACCATTTATTAGAGCAGGTTATTAATGATAGATGGGTATGTTTCTCCTGAAGAAACCTATCCCATAGGAGCAATGTTGCCAGTACCTTTCTACTTTACCTTGAAGGAAAACAGGGAGCATTGATTAATAATCTCAGGGCCCATTCTTAGATCCATGGGAATATGCAACAACGAATTCAGTATAATCCAAGACAAAACAGTGAACGCAGCAGAACGCTGTCCTTGTCAACGAGATTGTTTAAATATGTGGAGTTTTAATTACATATAAATAGCACGATTTTCCACAATAGTTGCTGTTATCTACATTCAGGCTGCTTAAAATACTACTTGAAAAAGCAAAACAATCCATGCTCCGGTCTTACCTTGAAGAACCAAGCCTGATTTCTCAATGGTGTAGAAAAAAGCACAGAATGGAGCAACAGGGGATTTAGCAACCAGAAGCTGCAAAACAAACAAGTAATATATAAGTACACACCTTTATAACATACTGACCAGAGCTCAAATCCATAGAATAATCTCACAGGATTTAACTTCCAGAAGTAGTAAAGCATACTGTAGAAATAATAATGTAGTTACTGATCTAGCCCTGTCATTTCTAAGTAGTTGAGGTCCTCTCATATGCATGTATAGATTGTGCTGCAATTTTAAAAGGATTCACAGGTCCTAAAAAACCACCATCATGAAAGCGGTGAGTTTTGCTTGTCTTATCAGCATCCTGTTAAGCCTAATCATTGCTGCTGGTGCAAGCAGCTGCACTCAAATAGGGGATAATTTTGAGCAAAACTGCAATTACCACTGTGTAACGCAATTTTAATCGCCATTAGCCATTCCACAGACATGCCCCTCGACCTCTCCAAGAACTCCACCTGCCGTCTTCCTCCAGCCCCTGGGAGCAGCATAGTCCACCCACGGGTGACTGCACCGGGGACAGTAACATGCCACTGCAAGTACCTGGATGTCCTCTTTTGCAGAAGGGGTAATAACTGAGTTGAGTTTTACTCAAGGATCTTGACCTTGGAATATCAAAATAGGAACCTCAGGCCAGAAACATCCCCAGCTCTCTGGCTCCGCTACGGAGCAACCGTTCTCTGTGGAAGATGAGCTGCAGCAGAGCTCTGGAGACAAAGAAATGGGCAGGGTAGGGGACGTGGGACCCCACAGTGGCGAACTCACACAGATGTGCCAGGCCTTATTGCTCGGCTGTTTGATTTTTGCTCGTTGTGGGGGACTGCTCCCTCACAGCTTGCCTCAAAACAACACCCATTCTGTCACCTATGTGAAAGTGACATTGTAATGACAAACTTAGTAAGCTCTGCCCAGAGTGTGATCAGCACAAACACTGACCTAACGCTCCCCATGCGGGCCCTGCAGAAGACGCTGACA